TTACACCCTGGGGCAATTGCAGTTGAAATGGAAGGAAAAGGTGAGAATTACTCTAAGGGTTACTCTTGCTTGGCATCTGTGATCCTTGTGCAGGAAATGGTTTTGCCATAACAAGGATTACATATATTCATTGTGTTCAGCGTGTTACGGTATAATCTAAAGGATAAAAAGAACACGATGCTCCTATAAACTCAACAACTTTATTAAACAGCATGAAACATTGATAAAGAGTGACTCTTAAAGACAGCACAGTAGTGATCCTTGATAAACTTACTTAGGCCCATTACAGACTATGAGTTAGCTCACCATTGACACAATCTCACATGTGTTTCCGAACTTCCTTGAAGTGAACAATCTTCCACAGAAGCTCTCTTTCTATATATAGCTTTCTAGACATCTGATCGCTCCTGACAACAGCAACAACTACTACTACATGACTGAGTCCTTATTTACATTCAGAAAGTATTCCAGAACATTTTGGAAACTTACAACACAACTGTTTCTGTAGTAATACATCATAACAATGTGATCTAATAAAATGTTCTAGAAAGTTCAATGGTATATGCATTTCAGTATGACCAGGCATTCTAGAAATTTCTAGAAACTTGTTTTAACAGTCACTATCCATAACAAGTGCAATATAATGTTACCAGGATCACTCATACAAAGCTGACCAAACCCAATTACATAAAATGTTCAATTACATGTAACTGAAGGTAAACTCCTTTTTCTCTTTTTCATGTGCCTGCTTTGGGCGTATGTACTGATTGGCACTAGTGAATTAAGATGGAATCATTGTTCATATCTTCATAATATAACTTTCTGATCTCGTCCAAGTGACCCAGTAACCAAGGAATTACTAGAAATATGACTGTACCCAGTCATATACAAAGGTGTACTGCGAGCAAGAAATAAATTATGAGTAGTCCTAGAGGTTTTCAAACATAGTGTGTATTACACTGTACCCCCAAATTGATGTTCTCAAGCTTTACCTCTGAGCTACAGGGTTAGAGAGGATCAAGCTTCTGGTCGCTACTTTGTAAGGCTAACTTTCTAAAGGAGGAAAGAAAGTCAGCAATTTTTTTGTATGGGGATTGGTCACCATAAGCGTACAATGATAATGATTTTTACAGTATACCCTCAACTTTGATGTTCGTAAGCTTTACCTCTGAACTACAGGAAGATCCGTTTGCTAAACTATTAAGCCGGGAGGAGGGGAGGTACTTAACAACTTTTTGTAGGGGAGTGGTCAGCACGGGTGCATAATGGTAATCTTTATTGCACTGTACCCTCCAACTTGTCATATTTTCAAGCCTCACCTTTCAACCATTCAAAGCTTCTGATTGCTACACTATTAACCAGGTTCTTGTTGGAGGTGAGATACTCCATACTTTGTGTTCGGCGAAACTCTTTCCTGAATTCCAAATCCTTATTCTTTGCTATACTGCTTCTGACTAAAAAGGTACCCTGCCCTACTCATTCATACTCTCTAGAAAGAGTGGTGCTAATTTATATACCAGCAGAAAAACACAACATCTTTTAAAGTATTCCAATAACAAAGAACAAACAAAATGAATGATCTGCAGAAAAACAGAGCCTCTTTTGCTCCAATTAATCATAACTATCCCCCCATAATATCACTGTTTAAATCCATTGCAATAGTTATTGCTTATTTTTTTCATTTTTCTACCTCAGGTCTTTTTGCAGCAGCTCATGACATGAAGATGGAGTGGCTTGTTGTTCATGGTGTTTGTGGTTTTGTACCTTGCAGTGCAACTAAAAACAATTCATGGAAGACTTTTGCTTGTGTTATGGCAGCTT